GTGTGTGTGTGTGTGTGTGTGAGTGTGTGTGTGTGTGTGTGTGTGTGTGTGTGTGTGTGTTTGTGTTGAATTTATATCTTAATCTTGGAAAAACAGTTATCTTAACAACATCAAGTCTTTCTGCAGCCCATTGACATGGTATATCTCTCCGTGTATTTAGGCCATTTTTTATTTCTTTCATCAGTGTTTTGTAGGTTTCAGCACACAGATGTTACACATGTTTTGTTAGATTAGGGGGAAGAGACATTCTCTGTTGTCCTAGTTCATCAAATCTAAGGCAGTGCCTATATCTTCCTAGGTCTTAGGAGTAAAGTTATTTCATTGATCTTGCCTCTCCCCCAGACATGAGGCATTTATATGGTGTCCTTTGTGTGATTTTGCTAACTTATGAATTACCTGACTATTATATCATTGTCCCCATGTGATTTTGCTAACTGTGGCCTAACTAATGCAGTGTCTTTGATACTGACACCCCCTTCTGCGTGAGGAATGTTTATTTGCCTATGTCAGAACAAGAGAGGCCATGTTCATTTTTAACTTCAGCACAGAGTTGGCACCTTATTTAAAATTGCCCTTGGAGTTGATCAAACACTCATTTGAAAGAATATGTGCACCCCTAAGTTCATTGCAGAGTTATTTTCAATAGCCAAGATATGGAAGCAATGCAAGTGCCCATCAATAGATAAGTGTATAAAAAAGCTGTGGTACATATATACAATAGAATATTACTTGGCCATAAAAAAATGAGTCTTATCATTTGCACCAAAATATTATACTAAATTAAACTGTGGCTCGCGAGCCGCAGTTTGCTGACCACTGGTCGAGGTGAAAAAGGTGAAAGCGTTAAGAAGTACAAATTGGTAGTAACAAAATCCTCACAGAGATTTAAAGTACAACATAGGGAATGTAGTTGATAATATTGTAATAACTTTGTATAGGGCTGGGTGGGTACTGGAAATATTGGAGTAAACACCTTGTAAAATATTTGATTTTTTACTATTTTGTCTATTTTGTCGAGAATAATATGACCCCAGCACTCAATATGAAAGTTCATATTGACCCTGCCAACAATATTGGAGTAAACACCTTGTAAAATATTTGATTTTTACTATTTTGCCTATTTTGTCGAGAATAATATGACCCCGGCACTCAATATGAAAGTTCATATTGACCCTGCCAATAGTCACTATTATCGTTTTTGCTGCTGTTGCTCCTCAACCCCTGCAACAACAACAACAACAACAACAACAAAAACCAGGAGCTAGCTAATGGCCTGGGTCCATAACAGTCTCCTATCCCTTTCCAAGGAGTGGAGAGTTTTTCCTGCGCCCTTCCCTTTTGGTAGTGGATCTTTATCTGCGCACTTCGGGGTGGAGCTAGGGGCTGGTAGTGGATCTTTACCTGTGCACTGGGGGGTGGGGCTAGGGGCTAGGGTTTGAAGCCCTTCTTTCAGCAGTTTAAGACTTTTGTTCCTTAGGAGGCAGGGGACAATGTGGAGTGCCAGTCTTTCCTCCTGGTGGCAGCTGCTCCTCTCCGCCAAGCCCGCACCACGGAGGACTGCATTCTTTCATCTCCTGCCCTGCCGTCTTTCTCACAAGCAACTAGCAAGGTCGCTGGTGGGAAAAGCCTATAAGGGAGTGTGCATTTCTTGTGTCTGGAGCTTCCAGGACTTCGATGCTCTCATTAGCCCACACTTGGCCTTTATCAATGTGTTCTCTAAAATAAGCTGCATTTTTCGCACTTGCTTGCATCTGGTATGTCTTCCTTCAGTGCTCTGCCAACGATGTGTCAGTCTGTGAAGTCCATCTGTCCTTGAAGATACCTTCAATTTTTCCTTAGCCTTTTTTCCCCCCCTTAGGTTTCATGTTAGTTGGTTGTCCTGATAACTCAGCTCTCTACTGGGCTCAAGAAAAGTGACATTTTTTAGATGATCTGGCTTGTTGTTATTGTTAGGAAAGGAGTAACAGTCTTTCCAACGGTGGATATCCTAAATAGACTCCAAATGCTTTAAATCATATAGCTCCTCAAAAAGGTATTTTTGAGTAACTTTTCCTCACATTTCTATAATTTTATTGATAAATTATATACTTAAACTACTGTACAGATATATAAATTATGAAACATACCCAAAAATAAAAGTAAGAAAGAAGGACATGGGTACCTGCTTTTAATATGGTCACATCAAATGACCTCCCTATTTATTCCCTTTGGAAGGGACTCAAAATCAGAAAGGAGAACTGTGTTCCGCTGGGTTTCAAAGTCAATCTGTGAGCAAGGTCAACGCTGCCAATAGTCACTATACCATTTGTGCTGCTGTTGCTCCCTCAACCCTTGCAAAACAACAGCAACAAAAAACTCTTACTTTTTTATTCACCTATGTGTGTGCCTTCCACCTTTAGGATGTAAAATTTTCATTTTTTTCCTGATATATATATATAGCTTCATAGATAACAAAACTAAATAAATGATCACATTGATAAGCCAAGTTTGCAGAAAACAGTTTGTCTCCATGACAACAGAGAAGAAGGGAGCTTTTAATTTGTGAAAACAAGTCAGTCCTAAAATACTATCATTATCTTTGACCTTCCCCTGAAACCACTAATTGTTCCCTGGTAAACCAATCAGTGATGAGTAGTAAAAAGAAAACCAGGACAGAACATATGCAAAGATACTATAAGAAAAAGGCAGCTCTAGCCGCTTTGGCTCAGTGGATAGAGAGTCAGCCTGTGGACCTAAGGGTCCTGGGTTCAATTCCGGTCAAGGACCTCGGTTTCAGGCTCCTCCCCAGCCTGGGCCCTGGTCAGGCACTGGCAGGAAGCAACCAATGGATATATTTCTCTCATATAGTATTTCTCTCTGTCTTTTCCTCTCTTCCATTCTCTCTAAAAATTAATGGAAAAATATCCTTGGATGAGGATTAAAAAAAAAAAAGGCAGACAAAGAAGAGAAAAATCTAATAACAGATGAAGAACTCTCACTAGAAATACTTGCCAAAGTATAGGTGAAAGTTGTGACTAAACACTACGACTTTTAAAAGCTTAATAAAGCAGTGTCATAAATTGGAAATGCAAGAATAGAGAAGAGCCCAGCCGGCGTGGCTCAGGAGTTGAGCGAAGACCTATGAACCAGAAGGTCAGGGTTTGATTCCCAGTCAGGCCACATGCCTGGGTTGTGGGCTCGATCCCCAGTGTGGAGGGTGAAGGAGCCAGCAGATCAATGATTCTCTCTCATCATTGATGTTTCTCTCTCTTTCTCTCTCCCTTTCTCTCTGAAAAATCAATAAAATATATTTTAAAAATATATTTTAAAGAATAGAGAAGAGATGATAAAATGTTAAATAATAACACTCTGGAAAGGAGGAGAATTGAAAAATAAGAATTTAGAAAGGAAAAAGCAGAAATAGGTCACAGGTAAAGAAAATTCAAAATATGCATAATTGGAATCCTTAAAGAAAAACACTGAATTTATGTTCTTGGGGAGAAGATGAGGATTGTGTGTGGCAAATATAAACATGCATATTTATATAAAAATATAAATGAAGCCCTAGCCAGTTTGGCTCACTGGATAGAGTGTCGGCCTGGCGACTGAAGGCTCCCAGGTTTGATTCCGGTCAAGGGCATGTACCTTGGTAGCAGGCACATCCCCAGTAAGGGGGGTGCAGGAGGCAGCTGATCTATGCTTCTCTCTCATCGATGTTTCTAACTCTCTATCCCTCTCACTTCCTCTCTGTAAAAAAATCAACAAAATATATATTTAAAAATATAAATTAAGAAAAGATCCTGAATTACCAGAAGATTTTCATTCATATCTTAAACTATTAAAAGATTAAAGGCCACATTATGTAACAGGGAAATAGAACAGAATGATCATGAGACATGCCATTGTAAAATTATTTGACTTCAAAGATGAAAGAATAATTCTTTGGGCAACCTGCACATACAAGTTGAGGGGGAAAAAATCAAGCTGTTCTCAGTCTTGTCCATAGCAGCACTCAATAGTAAGACAGTTGTGCTCTACTATTGGTGGAAATGCTGACTGGTGCAGCCCCACTGTGGAAAACAGTATGGAGGTTCCTCATAAAAGTAAAAATGGAACTACGTTATGGTCCAGCAATTCCACTGCTGGGTATATATCTCAAGAAACCCAAAACATTAATTTGAAAGAATATGTGCACCCCTAAGTTCATTGCATTATTTATTCATTATTTTCAATAGCCAAGATATGGAAGCAATGCAATTGCCCATCAATAGATAAGTGTATAAAAAAAAACTGTGGTACATATATACAATAGAATATTACTTGGCCATAAAAAAGGAAGTCTTATCATTTGCAATAAAGAGTAGATAGACCTAAAGGGTATTATACTAAATGAAATAAGTCAGTCAGATAAAGTAAAATACCATATGATTTAACTTAACTGTGGAATCTAAAGAACAAAATAAATGAATAGGGCAAAGTTGAAATAGATTCATAGATACAACAAACAAACTGGTGGTTGCCAGAGGGGAAGGGGCTCAGGGGTCTAGGTGAAAAAGGTGAAAGCATTAAGAAGTACAAATTGGTAGTAACAAAATTGTCACAGAGATGTAAAGTACAACATAGGAAATATAGTTGATAATATTGTAATAACTTTGTATAGGGCCAGGTGGTACTGGAAATATTGGAGTAAACACTTTGTATAATATATGATAGTCTAACCACTATCTGTACACCTGAAGCTAATACAAAATAATATTGTTAACTATAAATAAAAATAACATTTAAAATATATTTAAAGAAAACTCAGTGGAGCACTACTTATAAGATCATATGGAAAGAATATATAAATCACATATTCTATATCCAGCCAAAAGTTCATTCACATAAAAAGGAAATAGGTCAACAGTTGAGAATACACAATATTCCCAAGGATTTTATTCCCATAAGATTTCTTGACAACATAGAGAACATATTTTGGTTACTCTGTAGACTACTAGGAACACAAAGGCACACATGGGCCTGGAATATATTTAATCAGAGAACCAAACTAAAACAATCATAGGGATTAGGGAGTAGAAAAGAAAGTGCATACTACATGCCCTTATATAGAAATTATATAACTAATGAAAGCTGGAAAAACACAGAGGAAAAGGTCTAAGGAAGACTAAATATGCTAATATCTTCGGCTACAATAACTGATCAAATCATCAAATGTAAAGCTGATAAATAGAAATCTGAGAATCCTTAATAATGCTGGTATAAACAATTAAAACTGGATGGATGAAGAAGAAATAGAGAATAACTAAGAGGTAAAAAAGTAGCCTAATTTCACTATTTCTCATTGTAAAAAAATAATAAATCCTGGATTTTTTAAAAATAGAGTACTGGGGGTACTATAAAAATTTATAATTATAAAGGTAACCAGTAGAAGAAAATAATATAAACCTTCCTAAATCTTAGAACACATACATACTTACACACACACCCCAAAAAAAGACACTTGTTAGTGAACAATCCTTTAAAATCTTTAAGCATGAAAAATACAATAAAGGTCATAAGACAGAACCATTACCATGCAATACTTATAAATATAAATGTCCTAAAAGTCAACGTTTGTTTTAAAAATCAAGACTTTCAAATTGGATCAAATAGCAAAATCCAATTCTATGCTCCCTAGTACTACAGCTAAAACTAAGTGCTTGGAAAGATTGAAGATAAAAGTGTAAGACACGGTTGTATTCAAGCCAACAAGGTATGAAACAAAACAAAACAAAACAAAGTATACCTTATAAGATTAAAATGTGAAATTTACAAAAAAGCAAATTAAAAGAGTAGTGCTTTGGTAACTAACTGAGCTTTATTTAGAATAGCCCACGTTGCCATCAATAGTTTATGTCTGTTGCCTTGGTTTAACTGTTCAATAGAAATTTCTTTCACTCTTAAAATATCTCTATTTAGACAATAAATTATAGATCATCCTACATTTATTCAAGGAATACAAGGATGGTTCCTTATAAGAAAATATAGTCACATAAATGCAAGGAATTTCAGCATTGTGCCATGGGCATCATGATACTGCATATATCCTTTCATAAGCTCTTATAAGCCTCCGCTTTCTCAGCATTCACTTCATTGGCTTCATTCGATCACAGCTCTGATGTATGTTCCTTTTACAGGGTGCCCTGAAATGCTTTCTGGAAGAATTAGGCAGACTGCAGAAGAAGTTTTATGCCAAAGACCAACGGTTATGTTGCCCTATCAGGACCTACCTGGTTACAGCCAGGAGTGCAGCCAGTTCAGGTGCCCGAGTGCTGAAAACGCTTCGCCGCTGGGGGCTAGAGATAGATGAAGCCCTGTTCCTTGCTGGAGCCTCCAAAGGTCCCATCTTGGTGAAAATACGGCCCCACATCTTCTTTGATGACAACATGTTCCATATTGAAGGGGCACAGAAATTTGGCACCAACACAGCTCATGTACCTTATAGCCTTACTCAAAAATGAACAATTAGCGATGGGGAGGAGAAATAAAGCAGTGAGTCTGGTATTACAGAAGCCACTTCTTGTGGATCTCTAGGGTATTTAGTTAGGTATTTCAGAAGATGGGACCTCAGTACTTAAGTTCATTTGGAAAGGTTCTCTCTCGATTTTTTGGAAAACATTGTGAACCTTCAAGTTGCCTTCAAGCTACGTCTCTTTGAGATGTCAATGCTGTTGAATACCATTGCACCTGCCTTTGTGTGTAAATCATGATGATGACGCTTTAGGATAAGTTTAGAACTTGAATGCTTGAATGCTTAAAAGGCTATGTCAGAAGCCTAGTTGGTCTTACAACCCATTGCTCATTTTTGGATGTTGGTCAATAGAATAAATTGTTACAAATCATCATTAGAGAATGGTGGTCTTCCAAGGGGGGAAGAGTAGGATTACATACACTTTTGAAAGTTAGAGCTTTTTAGTCCTTTGCCCCTATGAACAGTCTTTGAATCAATGCAAAATGCAAATGTCACTCCACACCAGTCATTCAGAAATAAATCAGCTGGTTATTCATACAGGGCATTTTCCATCTAAGTCTAGCTCCAAACAGAACCTCCTAGAAAGGTTTTTTGAAGCTTGTTTGGTGGGTTTATTGCCTGTGAACAACATTTCTGCAGTCTCTGGCTTTGGCCCTATTAAGCCTTGGCCATGGCTTCAAATATGGCATGAAGCGTAGTGTCCTGGACTTTCATTGTTATCATTGTTCTGTTTTCAAAAACATTATTAACCATAATCTACTACATGATAAGGCATGGTAAGCTGGATATTTTCATGTTACCTCATTTTCTCATCAAATCAAACGTGTGTGATATCATATTGTTACCCTTCTTTTCAATCAATGAAGAACCTAAGATGCAAAGACAGATTAAGTAGCTTGTCCAAGAACAGCAGCTAATAAATAGCAGGACTAAGAATCAAATTCAGGTCTTATTTACTTCAAATGCTATATATATATATATTTTTTTCCTGTGTTATACAACCTTCCAAACTGAGTTCTTATTGATTCCATGGCCCATCCTGAACAGATTAGTCATTCCATTGAATTCTATGATTAAGCTACACAGCAGTTACACAGCAGGTCTCTCTCCTCTCTTCCCCACTCCCTCTCATGTTCCTTCTACTCCTACCTCCATCTTACCCCACCCACATATGCAATTTCCACCCTGCCTCTAGTTAAAGAAGATGCTGCTGGCATACATCTTTTGATCTGCTTCCTAATTTGATGTAAGCCAGTCCAAAATATACCAGTCGTGACACTTAATGAGTACCTAGTGTTTTCTATGCATTCCCCAATGTGAAATCCACAAGAGAACTCAGACATAATCCCATCCTTGAGGAAATTTAAAACCTTAACAATACCATAGAGGAAGTCCAATGTGCAAACTCAAATAGCCAACACTAGAGGGCTGTTTGTTCTCAGTGCCAAATGAGGGTCACATATGAGGTTGAAGCAAGTATCTGCATGGGCTGGCAGTGGTCAGGAAATGAAAAGAACTGAGGTGGGCTTTGAAGGACAGAAAATAGATAAAACTGAAGAGAGAGAGGAAACAGATGTGTTCCAGGCTAACAGAATTTGACAGGGAGCTTCACATTATAGGAGAAATAAAGGCCCTGATCCCTTCATGATTTCTGTTCCTGGTGCCTTGTCTAATCCTCAGTGATTGTGCTCTTTCCCACCCCTGGGCTTCATTCTCAGCACTCATATGAAACTGCTTCTGCCATTCCACCCCTTTTCTCTTTGTATTGTGACTATCGTTACATGTTATATCCTTCACAAATGTAAAGGAGGGTAGGAGAGCTTTAATATCAAAATCTTACAGGGATTTATTTCAACTCTTCACATTGTAAGTATCCTCTCTCTCTCTGGAGATTCTAGAAGGGGGCTGGGGCAGTAGAATTTTCTGCACCAGACAAGTAAGCACCCTATTCCCTGTGACTTTCATAGGGCCTAAGGGCTGGCACATATTAGATGGGTGAGTAGATGGACAAATGACCACTTTAGAGTCCATTGGTCTAATGCCACAAGTCTTTGAGATGGGTCTTTGTGCAATAACCTGGCATTTCTGAAGCATGTTCCAGGGTATAGAGCACTTTCCCTTCCATTTATGCATTTAATGGTCTTATGCAGGGGGCTGGAAGTGGCCTGCTCAGAAGTCCATGTTTACAGTAAGTGCAGGATTTTCCTACTGTATTCCTGCCAGTGTCAAATAAGGCCATTTGAGGATGCCTCCTTCTACAGGGACCATATCAGAATCAGCCGGGAACTTGTTAGACATGCAGATTCTCAGGCCCCATCTTGAACCAATTCAGTTCCTAACTCTGGTACCCAGGCCCCAAAATTTCAGTTTTTGTTGTTGTTTTTTGTTTCTACAAGCCCTTTGGGTGATTCTGATGCGATGCTGAAGTTTGACAACCATTGGCCCATTCTATTTCCAACTGATTCATGTTGCTCAGTTCATGGCCTCATTTATTGTGGGTGGAGTGGGGGGCCGGGGAGGGGTAGAGCCCTTCCCTAGGCTTTAGTGGGCAGGGAAAATTCTCCAGAGGGTGAAACATTGAAGGGAAGGTTAACATGTCCCAGGAGCCCTTAACGGAAAACACGCTACACCATCCATGAAGTGTGGGATTTGTACACCAGCCTATAGAGCGGGTTGGCAATTCAAAATATTCACTGGGCATTCACGTGGGGAAGGCCACCACCACTCAGGGATTGCCTTGGGGAGGAACCCCGCCCTGTGAAAACCGGGGGCTGTGCTCACCCAGGACTCTCAGGCTGGGAGCCTGCTTCAAGGAGTCACCAGGACCCACAGAGCTGCCCGATCAGGGGCCCGCAGAAGGAAAACTACAAGTCCCAGCATGCCCCACTCCACCCCTTCGGGGACAACAGGACGCGCCCCAGAGTTCCTCGCGCACAGGTGGCTGCCTCAGCCTGCGCGGCGCAGTGTCGCGCTTCCGGAAGTGGGGTGGGGGGGCGGGTGG